GTCACAGTGGAATCTGATCTGAGTTTCAGGATTGCAGCTGTTAACTCAAATTAATGCAAACTTCTTTGTGTTGTGTAAACTCTCAGCACTTTCTTAGTTCTTCCATGTGTAGCTGTAGTTGTTCATGGTGATGTGTGTCAGGGCCGTCTTTCCCAGGGTGGAAGGCTGCTGCAGCTGCTGGATGGAAGCAGAATGGAGACCACAAGAGGACAGTTCTACCGAGGCCTCACTAACCTGCAAAGTGTTCACAGAATAAATACCACTACACTAATTCACACTTTCTCTCAAACTCCTATTTTAGAATAAATCTGAGGTTGTTAGCTGGCACTAAGTGCTGTGGACAGCACGTTGACACAGGTTAACAGACAAACAGTAAAACCAGCCATGCAAACTAGCTCGTTCAACATCTGCATTATTTAAATTACCAATGCACGTGCCAGAAACCTGAGCGCCTCAGTGGGTACATTCAATAAATTATAGTGAATTAAGTGGCTGGCCCGACTGTGTGAAGAAGACAGAAGCGTCACACATGTTACATGCAGATAACCCTGGTTATGGTTTAGGCATCATCTGCAGGTTGCTTGCTAAGAAGTAAAGTTGACATTAAAGTTGATTTGATCACATTCAGGCTACAGCTCACACATACATGACATTCATGACAACTAAATCAAACAAAAAGCAGCTTCATGTTTTCTGTGTGTGTGTTACCTGTTGCTTGGTGCTGTGTACGTTCATAACCGCGGTAGGAGTATGTGTGTAAAGCGCAGCTGAGAAGTTTCCTTTCTGTGCAGGCCGAAGTAAAGTTAGGATAGCATGGAGAGACGAGGGGAGGACAGGTCCTGCAGTGTGGCAAGTACACGTATACTGAACACTAACACACACAGTGGGAGCTGAGAACTGATACGAGACAAAAGTCTGCTTGTCCAGCTGCGTACCTGTGATCTCCAGACTGCCGATGTTCTGGTAGGAAGAACCAACTTGACTTCTCACATTCACACAGCGGCTCTATAAAAGCATAAATCACACACAGTGTCAAATTCAACTCAGAAGTACAAATGACACATGAGATGGTTACAGACTGAGCTTCGTGTGTGTGCTGCAAACACCTTCAGAGTGTGCATTGTAGCTCCTCTGAAAGCACTGGGAGCCAACAGTGTGGGCGGTAACCCTGCCTGGGAGCCGGATGAAGCAACCACACCCTTCCAATTGATGAAGAAGTTGATGAGAGTGAAAGTGTGAAGTCCTTTCACACATATCACAGACTCAGGCTTATGGTCCAGAGACATGACGTGGCCCTCCTTATGACTAGAGAAGAGGTCAAGGAGTCACAGAAAAACACACAGAGTACACGTAAAACAGACTGACGTGACAGTGCTAATGAGGATACAGCTGTAGGGTGTGGAGGTCTGGCTTCTTGATTTTGTCCTGGACTCCCATCTCCTTCAGCCAAGACAAAGTGCTGTCTTCATCTCTGTAGTCTCCATCATGGTCTCCTCCATCAACTGTATCGCTCAGCTTGGAGCACCTACACAATGAGACCACATTTACACACGATGGCACAAAAACACCACAACAAAAGCTCAGTATGCATGACTGATTGCTGTTTTTAGACCACGACTGATTACACTTTTAAAATTTCCAGGTTATTAGTGCCTCATTTTTCCTTATGGTACATTTAAAGCATGACGACTGGTTATATCTAGTTCCTTCTACAGGCCTTTATGGCTTAACTCACCATCGTTAAGGTAGACTTTCATATGTGGTGCTCTCTGCTTCTCCTTGCTAACAGTTTTATGGCCCTTGGGTCATTATCATAAAAATAACTTGACTTTTCTTATCTTTTGTAGAGTGCTTGTGTTAAGTCTGTAGGGTGCAGGTTTCTTTTTATTGCCCAAAAAGTTATTCCAGTCATTCCCCGTTTAATTAACATTTAATTTTACCTAATTAACAAGAATAATCCAGGCATCTGAGTCTCTTAAAAAGTATTAGATCAGTATCTGACACATGAATATCCTAATCTCCACCATGTATTTGGACTACCGAAGCCTCTGCTGCAATCTAATGAAATCCTTTCTTTATTCCTCTTGATTGGGTTGTGCAAACCATTTACATGAAGGGTAATCATACTATGTACTTGATTTTGCATTTGGTTGCTTTTTGTTCTAACAGTTGAGTTACGTGATGACCAAACGTGAGCTGTTGCAGAACTATGAAGCACACTGATGGATATTTTCAAACAGAAAGAATGAGAGAAAACAAAACTGGAAGAACTTCATTTTAGCGTTAGCTATTTTGGTGTGTGAGGGATACTGTAGCTAACCCAGCAGAGCCCCCTTAATGCAACAGGAAAAAAACAACTTCTAAAGTGTCTTCTGTGCATTTTGTCCATTTAGATTCGATCTTTCACCAAATGTTTCATTATTCAGTGGAACAAACAGTCATAACCCACCAAGTCATTGAAAGTTGGGTTCAATGATATAGTGAGGCCAGACACTCCCTGGTGCACTCGCCTTGCTGTCAGCGATACAAGCATCCAGTGCAAAGGCCAGGAAACTATGAATGTTAGAAGAAACATCTGTAGCACTGAGTGTTGCCAGTACTTGGCTGCTCCATCCAGTATTTGAATCCATAGTGTGGTACTGCGCCTGTATGGACATTGATCCACAGCCGGGTAAGAACGTCCACACGGACCAGCTTCAGTGAATAATTCTGTGAGAAGACGACTCCGCTGAGTTCTGTCCACGCAGGAACCAAGAAAATGTGGTTCCATAAAAGTGAAATGTGAACCACGATCAGTTATTAAACATGCCAGCGATGGCATTACTCCACATGCTTGGTGTCGACTTCTCTAACTGCACATTCTCTTATCCAAATTCTTCATTATTGTGATGCAGTTCTTTCAAACTGTTGCCTTCAGTTGCAAAGTTGTAATTTAGCACAGCCAT